TTAGTTTTGACAATAAAATTACAAATCAAGGCAGAAAAGTGGTTCTTTTTTTGGATAATGCACCATGTCACTCATTTTACGAAAACTTGAAAAGTGTAAAGCTTCAATTCTTGCCTCCAAATACTACGTCTGAAATTCAACCTCTAGACCAAGGAGTTATACGCTGCTTTAAATTAGAATACCGACGTTTTGTTTTGCGAAGACTCCTTTCTATTATAGATTGCGATAAAAATTCATCACAAATCATTCAATCTATAACAGTATTAGATGCCATTCGGTGGATTAGACACGCCTGGGAAAATGTAAAAGGACAGACAATTGTAAATTGCTTTAAAAAATGCGAGCTAAGCAATACAGCTTTAGAGGCCACTATCAATGCAGCTGATTTAGAAAATGAAGTCAAAAGCTGCTGCAATTCAATATGACCCAAATTCAGATAAATATGAAAATGGGCTAGAATGTTACGATGATTTATCGGAAGATTGGGAGAAAAGATTTATAGATGATTCAGATACAGGTAAAACATTAATATTTATTGTTTTAAGTTTTGAAAAAATACAATACATATTTTTTTAAACTTATTTGTTCAATTTTTTCAGGAGTTCAGTCTGCTTCAGATAATGAGAATGAGTCCCCCGTGCCATATTTATCAAACCAAGAAACGCTAATAGAAGTAAATAAACTGATATCCCAATCCAAGGCATTAATAAATGATGCGAATTTAACTAATTTGTTTTATAGAGTTAAGGAATCATTAGAAACTAAAATTGTTTGCGAAAAAATTGTAAAAAGTAAACAAACTTCAATTGAAAATTTTTTTAAACATGTATAAAAACTTAAAATGTTAATAAACAGTTTTTTTCTACATAAATTTTGATTTCTTCATTTTATTTTTTGGTCACCCCCATTTAAGGGCCACCCCTCATAAGGGCCAATTTTCAATGGAACGACAGGTGGCCCTTACCGAGAGGTTTCACTGTATAAATAAAAAAGCTAAACACGTGTTGACCTTGATTACACGATTTTTCAAAACAGGGTCACAGCAGCTACTAACTGTAACTACTAATGCAATTCAACATATGAAAGCTCTCACAAAACAATTTAATGAAAAATAGAAATAACAGATCGGATGTCTTATTAAATTTTAGAAAAAAAAAATATACTTGCAAAAGTTGTTTTTATTATATCTTCTAATACAAAACAGTTAATTAAAAAGTAAGAACTAGATACCGATAAAATATGGCAAGATCTGTTGCTTTTGAATAAAAATTTAAAAACAATGCTGTTCATAGAACTTAATCATGTTGAACTTATCTTTAAAAAAAAATAACAAACTGAAACAATGAATACTAACCATTAATTTGCCATCCATCTGAGCTGGGCCATTATCTGCTATCCTCAAAACAAACAATGGCATATTTTGAAATTCTTTACCACCCCGGATACTAAATCCAAAACCTTTAGTACCACGATTCAAATTAACAGTTTGATAAAATTCTTCTTGATCGATTGAATTTTCTTCTTCCTAAAATATAAGCATACTGATTATAAGCATATGCTAAAGATTTTAGGAATAGTGATGTAAAAAAAAAATAAAAATTATAAATAAATGAACTTTAACAGAAAAAAATATATATATAACCACACAAACTGTATAAATAATCAAAGCATTTTTAGCATAAAAACATTTATAGGTGGATTTAATGTCTATAGTAGTGTAGGAATATTAAAAGTATAAAATGGAATTAAGACAGCGATGAATTAAACTTAGATATAGTAAAGGTGCATTTCAAATTAGCACACAAAAGTAAAAGAAATATTAAGCCTTAAATATTTGATTATTTTTGATATTTTGGATATTTTTTGAAAATTATTTCAAAATAAATTAGTTTTCATTTTTAAAAAATTAAAAACAGGATAATGAAATTTTCCTGCAATTTCAACAGACAAAGAAAATTTGATTTTTATTCTAAGTTTGTATAAATTTTTTTTAAATTAATTCCTAACTAAAAAATTTCTAAAAGCAAAATTTTATGAGCATTAATGGGAATAACTATTGTCATAAACATTTAATCCTTGAATTAAAAAATCACGAATAGTGCAATTTTACAACAACATACATTTTGCAAGAGTAGAAAATATTTTTCAGAGAAATTATTTAATCTTAAATTTTCAATCCAAATTTTATTAAATCCATTTAAACAATAAGCTTAAAAGGAGGATCAAAGTACAAACCTTTTGAGACCATGATGCTATGCTGGATTCTTCATCTGAAAAAAATAAAATATATCTATATCAAATGGCACTACAATACCAAGATAAATAAGCTAAAACTGAATCATTTTTCCATTAAATTTCTTTTTAAAAAAAAATTACTGTAATGAGGATGAAAATCACGCGCATACAGTATAATTTTTAATGTGAATATATATTAATGTATTTTCTCTGAATACTTCAAATAATACACAGTTAATAAAGTAATATATATTAATGTATTTTCCATTACTAGATAAATTAACGGTTAAGTAGAGTAATATATATTAATGTATATTTTTATGACTAGGAGGTGATTTTTCATGTGATTTCAGCTCAGAATGTTGTCACTGAAAAATATTAAGACAGATTGTCGTCACAGAAAAACATTAAATCAGAGGACGGTCACTGAAGAATATAAATGGCAGATTTATAATATTTCAAATAGGGACCCAGTTTTAGTAAAAACAGATTCAGAAATTGTTAAGGACCCATAGTTAAGGCCCGCCATAAGGAATGAATAAATATATAAATCCCATGTTTAGAAAACACAATCCAGGGGTGATTGTGAGCCCAAGTCAAAATTCCGGAAAATTTCCTGAATTTGAAGAAAAAAGAAAAAAAAACAGTTTAAATTGAAAAATTAGAAAAAAAATTAAACAAGGTTTTTTTTTCCTTTTTCTCAATATTTCTTAGTTTACTAAAAATATATTTAAAATTTTACACATACCTATACCATTTACACATACCTATGATGACCTGGAGAAGTTATTAAAATCTACAAATATGTATTTTTTTTGAGTTTATGATTATAACAACTATTTAGTGATAAAAAATGAATATTAATCATGAATATAAGCTTATAAAGTATCTCTGTGGCTCTCCCTTACAAACAAATTAAATAAACTGTGTTTTTAAGTTCTACCTTTAAAAATTTGATTTCCGGAAACTTAAGTGATCAAGGATTTTTTGAAACATCTGGACTTTCGATCTCCGGAAACTTCCGGATCACTGTTAGCGAAAAATCCGGAAATCAGGATTTTTTCCGGAGCACAATCAGCCCTGACAATCACTAAAATTTTATAAGGTTTAGCGAAAAGGCAAACATCAAGAATATCAGTGCTAACATTTAAATTTTCTAAAAGAAGCATTTTAAAACATAGGCATAGTAAATAATTGCCAAGAGGGAAAAACAAAAAACAATATAGAAGTTTTTAACTCATGGTTTTTGATAGGGTCAAAGAAGCTTCTTGGAAATTACATTTTAAATAGTTTTACATAATTATTCATGAAGTTTAAAAATCTTTATTAAAAGTTAAGTTATATAAAAACATTATTAAGCTGTTTAATTTTTGATGCTTCCCTAAAAATACTGAAACTTTGTCTAACAAACATTTAAAATAAGAGAATGAACTTGTCATTAAAAAAAAAATGAACAACTTTGAAACAAGATGGAAATAGCAATTAACTATTCTCAATACAAACATTTAAATGTCTTATACACATAAAATCAAATATGTACCTATTGTTAAAGTCACAGAATAACCACAATCTTTAATTAAGTTAACAATGTCCCCATGAGGCATATTTATAATACTGATGCCATTCACAGCTAAAATTGTGTCTCCAACATGCAACTGACCACATCTCTCAGCAGGACTACCTTCAATTATCCTCCCTGCAATTAAAATAAATTAAAAATTATGTATTTATATATTTAAAATTCCGCAAATTATGTTTAAAAATTTAGAAAAAGTACTAAGATTAATTAAACAATAAATTTATTGTTCTTAAGCTACAAGGTTTTTAAGATACCGGATGAAATTCATAAAGCTTTTCATGGTGCTTAGAATTCAGAAACTAATTTGAGGCACACATTGAAAAAATCCTCAAATTTACAGAATTATATTTTTAGAAATTTAGGTTACCGATTCTCATTCCTAAATAATTCCCAAAACATAGTCACATATCATATTAAATTGAGTCATCAATTATGTTAAAGCTCAATTTGCTACAATTTATTACGTGCAAGTGCTTAAAGTGATTTCTTATATGTTTGTAAATACTAAAAGTATGTCATAAGCATTTACTACCTTTCCAGCTAATTTATATAGTATATTAATAACTATTTAATATTGTATACAGAATATAGCTACAATGTTTATTTATTTATATTCAAATATCCAATGCAATGTGAAAACGAAAATACTTTTTATGTTTACAAAATTACGAGCTCTAAGACTAGGATAACAAAGGTTACAACTTTTAGAATTAGAACAGTAAAATTTAGTATTTTCATAAGATAATTCATGAATTTATAAGTTTTAATTTTTGTGGGAGAGAATTTCTAAGGAAAAAAAATCAGAACATATCAAAATTAAATATCAAATGCAAACATACCAAATGCTAAAATTAAAAAAAAATTTAAAAACAGTCATAATAAAAAATTTAATTAAAGAAGTAAAATCAGTTTATTTTTTCAAATACTTGTAACTTTATATTTAGTTGAATTAATGATTCTCAATATGCAGAATGCTTGAACAAGGTATCTCAAAACAATGTAAGATACCTTCAAATTGAAAAAAAAAAAAATTTATGTAATATTACATAAAAATAACAATAAATAAAATTACTTCAAGCCAGAGTTTGAATTGTTTAGGAATGCGTACAATACTAAATTTTGACAGACATGTTACAATGAAAGTTCAAAAATGTAACAGCTATAAATTAACAAATGAATTTAGCAAAATTTTGAGGCAAATTATAAACTGAGTTTATTATTATTATCTTACCTTATATATTATAACCATTGGACTACAGAAGTTATGAGAAGCAAACTTATACATATATGATACCTGTTGTGCAAAATATTAAGTAAAATACATAAAACTCTTAAACTTTTGAACATCACTCTAGTTCCAAGATAGGGCATGATCACGATTTCATGCAACATATTTGGCTCAATAGCTATGCTATTCAGTAGGAATTAGATATTTGATGGTTATTTTCATACAAATTTGCAGCAGAATTACAACCGAATTGTAAAGACTAATAAAAAAGATAACTCAATTCAACTTTAATATAGGATCTCTAATAATTGACCTGAAAATAAACACTAAAAATATAATATATTTTACCAATTGTTGAGCCTGACTTGCTTAAGGATGATATGATGACAAACCCAAAACCTTCACTTGCATTCCTAGCCACAGTTACATCATAGNATAAACTGTAAATTTTGACAGACATGTTACAATGAAAGTTCAAAAATGTAACAGCCATAAATTAAGAAATGAATTTAGCAAAATTTTTAGGCAAATTATAAACTTAGTTTATTATTATTATCTTACCTCATATATTCTAACCACTGGACTACAGAAGTTATGAGAAGCTAATTTATACATACATGATACCTGTTGTGCAAAATATTAAGTAAAATACATAAAACTCTAACTTCTGAACATCACTCTAGATCCAAGATAGGGCCTGATCACGACTTCATGCAACATATTTGGTTCAATAGCTATGCTATTCAGTAGAAATGATATATTTGATGGTTATCTTCATACAAATTTGCAACAGAATTACTACCGAATTGAAACCAACTTTAATATAGGATCTCTAATAATTGACCTGAAAATAAACACTAAAAATATAATTATTAATGTCTCTATATATAAGTTTACCAATTGTTGAGCCTGACTTGCTTAAGGATGATATGATGACAAACCCAAAGCCTTCACTTGCATTCCTAGCCACAGTTACATCATAGGATGATCCATCAACAGGCTTTGAATTTATTGAATTATCTACAAAAGAAATTATTTTATAGAGAAAAATCTTAAGTTCCAGAAGATAAAATTATGTAAATATTTAAATCTTTATAACAAGTATATGATTATTTAAAGGCAAGAACAACTAAAAAGTTATGAATGTAATTTGTTTGTCAATTATTTTGCCTAAAAAAAAAATTAAAGTATTTTTCTTGAGAATTGGTTAGTTTGTATCCAACTAACCCTACATTTTGCATTTTTCAAGAGAGCATTGCTAAGTTTTAAATTGGAACAAGGGCCAATTTAAAATTATATACTTAATGAATTTTTTTAAGTCATCAACTATTTTAAAATATTTTTTAAGCACTTTTGTAACTTTTCAAAGTAAAGCTGCTATTACTAACTAGAAACTACAAGCATTACTTGAGAAACTACATGTGATATTTGGCTAATTTACAGGCTAATAATTTGAAGCCCTTAGTGTGGGCCCTGATGATATTATAAGAAACCTACATATATACAGTAAATTAAAGAACACATAAGCACACACATACACATGATTACACAATAAAAAAACAAATAATACTTTTTTTAATAAAAACTGGCTGGCCTGGACTTTTTCAAAAAAAGCCAGCTTTTCGAAACTCTGAATGTTTGTTAACTACGTTTGGAACTAAAGGGTTAAGTCTAATTCTGAATTTAAAATATGAAGCTTTACGTAAGAATATTTAGTATTTTTTTTTTCATTAAAGTCAACTATTAACAATATATTTACTTATCTCATCTTATATTTGAAATTTCTTAAAGATTTTTAGCTTAAAACAGAGGTAACCAAATTACTGATCAAGAATAAAATTTTTTATATTTATGCAACAGATTTCATTGTAGGGCTGTTTGTTAGTAGGGCATAAAAATTTATAGTTTTAATGCTCAAATTTGCCTTAAAAAATATTAATATTTGAAGATTATTTTGAATTTATAATTTTAAGAGCCTTACTTATCAAAAATAAAATTAAAACTATAATTAAAGCTGCTTATAAAAGAAAAATTTGTCGAACCCAGTAGGATACCTTAAACAGATTATTGCGGAAATTCTCAAGAACAGTAATTTTTATTACTCAACTGTAAGCCTCAATTATACGTCTAATATTTCAAAATAATTACAGATTAATTGTCACAATTCGCACTTCTGCAACACACAAATAAAAGAGTATTAAAGAAATTACATGGAGAAGTACCTGATAAATAAACACGGCGACGAATATTGAGCGAGACATGATCATTTTCTGCTGAAGAATTCATTAATTGAACAACATGGTGATGAGGAGTGTTAAGCACACACTGTCCATCCACAGCTACTATTTCATCCCCAGATTTTAGAGTTCCATCTAAATCTGCTGCACCTCCTGGTACAATGTGACCGACAGCAACCTATACAAATAATTTCAAACATTTATCAAGATTTTAATTTCGCACTTTCTTTTTCAAATCAGGGATCTGGAGCCAAAAAAAAAATCTTCTCCCAAATATAAGCTAAAGCTCTGGCAATTTTACTATATATTTATGTTCACTTTTGAGTTTCAAATCTTAGTCTGAAATTTTTATTATAAAAATAAAACATTAAAAAAATACATAATCATTGCAGCTCACACAGCAAATTACAAATTTAATTTAATTCAGGGTTAAGTTATTTGTTCATTCTTAAGAAAACAATTTAATGAATCCCCTTTCATATTTGACCGTAAATCATTATGAATGTAAATCATTATAAATGTATTTTAATGATAAGAATAGTCTTTCTACAGCAATATAGCTAATAGACAGTGCGGCTACAATGAAACAGGCCTCTTGAATGTTTGTCTGCAGGATACAATCAAATTGCTCAAAATAGACTACTTTTGAGAGAAAATTTCAATTTATAAAAAAAACCTTTGAAACTGATGTAATTAAAATAATGATAAAATTAAAATGATCTAATTAGAAAACTTATTAATGACACTTACATTAAACAATATTTTAATAACAAAAATAAATTTTAGATAATAGTATGAATGAAAAAAATCAAATTGAACTGCATTAAGATGTCAAGTTTCCATTTCAAAATTTGAGCTGAAAAGTTTGCATTTCAAAATTTGAGCTGAAGTACAAAAGTGATTATGTACTTAGTCTAGCACAATAGCAAAGTAAAATCTTTCAGTTCCCAATATTGGAAATTATAATTTTAAAATTAATTTGCGACAAAATAGCTTTTTATTCTCTTGCTAATGTAAATAATGGCTGAAAGAAGTTTATAAGATTATTAAATACTATTGATAATGATTTTGGCTACTAAAAATAATAATAGCATGCATGAAAATAAAAAAATAGCAATACTTAAATTACAAATACTAAATTTTTTACACACTAAGCACAAAAATTGTGTGTACAACTAAAATATACAGATAAGAAATTATTAAGGACTCTTCAAAAAACTTTATTTTAATAAAATTGCTCTCAATTTCAAAATTTTCAAGAAAATAAAAGTAATTTGAAAGCTTTCATAAGTAGATATTGTGGTTTAAAAAAATCAGTCACCTTTTTAAATCAAATGTTAAAAAATTTACATGATTTTAATAGGCAGTGAGCATAGTATCCAGTCATTTATTTTCAATTAATTGATGGAATAAAAGCAGAAAAGCAAGTAAAAGTCAATTAAATCTGTATACATCAAAAAATTGTGTTTCTAACATTTTGATTAAGGTCATTACAATGCATGTAATAAAATCATAGACAATAACATGCTAAGTGCCTTGCAGCTTTCTAGCCTTATAAAAGAGAAATAGGAAATAATTATTAGTAATACTAAACAGAGTCATATGTTCATGTTAAATCACTATAAATAAATAAATATATAAATAACTCTGATTATTTTAAGATGTATATTTTTTTTACTCACACAGCTAAGCATGCTTTTAGTGCGTCTTATCAAACAAAGATTCAAGTTTAAAAATAAATTATATTTACTTGTGAACCCTCTTCTGTTCCTCCGATTATGCGAAAACCAAACCCACTTTCTTGTCTATAAAGCGTAACAATCATATCTATATAGCTTACACTTCCACTCTTGCATTCATCAATTTTATAAAGGGAGCTTTGATATGCATTTCTAAAGTCATTACTATTGTACGGTATTGGCTGCTCGTGCTCGAAAGATGTACTATGTTTACGATGAATTGAGTCTGATCTAGATGAATTTAAAGGCACTGGCGGTAAATAATGATTAAGGGAATTATTAAGGCTTCGCAAATCACTACTATGAGAATTGTCCTTGCTGGAAGTTCCTAAATTGTCACTAGTATTTTGTATATGATATGTAGGCATAGTCGATGAATAAAATGGCGGGCTATACATCAGATCGTTATTTGTGTACCTTTCTTCATTCAAAGAATACAATGAATTTTTCAGATGGCCCACAGAGCTGTTATTAGACACCAAAGGCAGGAATGCAGAACTATTTACAGAGGATTCGTGCTTATGCATGCTATTCCACGGATCTTGATGACTGAAGAGTCTATGGTTATCAAGTAAAGGATATGTTGTTGAATTTTCTTGGGGATTGCGCAGTGGAAAGGTGGAAGATTGGTGAGCAGTTTCTGGCAATGAATTGGACAGGAAAGTTTTTGAAAAGCTGTCATCGTTTTCTCGAGACTGATTCGAGTCCCTTAGGTTATGGTTGTGCCAATCTCTTCCTCTTCCTTGATCGGAATACCAAGATGGGTTACCGTGCCTTTCGGGACTACATTCCAGTAAGTCTCGATTCGGTTGGTTATAATCGCTTGATCGATGGTTGTAAAATGAATTTGAAAGAGATTCTGTTCCTTGAAAAAGTTTGTTCCCATTATTTTTGAGGTCTGGTGAAGTCATGAGCCAATTTCTTGTATCGACCAACGGAGTTTTGGGTCGGGCAATGGTTACTGGTTCTTTGTCTCTGGAACTATATAATTCAGCCGTAGGTGTCTTACTCCGATATGCTGAACCATTTGACTTACCACCTAAATGAAACACAAGATTCACAATTAAAACAATTTATATAAAAATAAATTAAAATGTTATGTACACATAACAGCCACAAAATAAGTGCCTTTTTTCATAAGTTATTCATATTTAACTCATCAAGTTGAAATGTATTCATTCTAATAATAAATGACTACTGTCCCCTAAATCTAAAGAAAACACATAACTTCTGGAGAAAAAAAAAACATTACAACTAGCTCTCTAGCTTGACATAACTTACAATCTAGTACTGCGAAATAATTTGGTACTTAAATTATTTATATTATGCTCGTTTTAAAAAAAGATAATACTTGAAAGTGAAACTTTAACCATTGCAGGGTTCCCAGTCAATTTTAGATAGAAAAAGATTCTCTGACATTTCCACATATATTGAGAAAATTTGAAAGAAAATGAAGACCATATTTTATCTATAACATGCAATTTTTCATCAAAAAACTTTCAGTTTTTATGTCATATATTAAATTTTGTGAACAAAAAAAAAAAAAATATAACTGAATAAGGAGAAAAGCATAGAAGTTTCACTAAAATGTAAAATTTTTGCTACAAATAATTGTAATAGAAGTATTTAACATGTATCTCAATAACTGATCATTGCTACTGACATTTCTGAGACTGATTATTTTCCAGGTATGCTCCAAGAATTTTACAGGTTTTTATAAAAAATTGCAACTTTTCCTGCTCTATAGAATCAAAATAAAATTCCATGACAATTCCAGTTTCTCCTTGACTCGTGGAAGACCTGCACAGTTATAACACACATTTTTATAAATAACATTTTTTTTTTCTCATCATTTTCTAATTTACAGTTTTAAACTAAATAAATAGTTCTGCACGATTTACAAAATTTAAGTATAGGTTCTATTATAATTTATTTTTCATCTTTATAGATACAATCTCTTTTCTAATTTTCCTTGAATAATATAATTTAGGATAGGATGACACAAAAGCCGAAATTGGCTATATTGTCGCTAACAAAAACACTATTGAAAATACATTAAAAGAAGAAAAAATTGACAATATTTACTTTGAAAAAAAATAAATAATAATAACTAGGATGACAGAACACATTAGTTTGTCTAAAGTAAGTAAACCACTTGAGGGGCTAAACAGTTAAAGATAATTTTATTTTGTTTCTTTTATGCTCACCATAAAAACTCTCAATATGTAATTTCAAACAATAACCAAATGTGTGAATTCGAACAGAAAACTTACTCAGACGAGAATATGAATTACTAAATGACTGTGAATGAATCATAGCACCGGGGTTAAACATATTGGGTTCTTCATTGGCACGTGGCTAAAAATAAAATAATAAAGCATTAAATAAAAGTGTAGCATTTTTAGACAAATAAGAACATAGATATTAATGTACAAAAAGTCAATTCACTCCATTACTATGATAAAATATTAAAGCTTAAATTAAAAAATAAGCTAAATGCAGAAAAAAGGCATATTTTTCAAATCAGAATTTTAAGGGGAAAACCGTTTGTACACATAATGACAAAGCATTGGTCGCTCAGCATACTCGAGTTTTTGGAATCCACTATTTTCATTAGTATTATAGTTTGAAGCCATTTCGAGAAATTAGGAATCACTTAGAAGTAAATTAGAATACAAATATATAAACAGAAGTGCCAACATTCTAAACTAGCTATCAGAAATCAGAAGTACAATAATATAAGTGCATAATATGAATAAAATTTTGCAGGAATTTATTAATTATTACATTAAAAAAAATCATTTAGACAAAAGTACTAAATAAAAAATTATGCAACACTAAAACTTTGAACAATATTATGAAAGGATAAAATTAAATTGATTACTTGGAATCAATGTTCTAATTTTTGGTTAGATTTGAACTAGTCTTTATTGTGTTTCTATCGTCCAACATTTGAACTACAAAATTTTCTATTCACAGCATTTCACATAATAGTTATAAGAACAGAAGATTAAGTTTAAAAATAGCTTGTTGGAAGAAGGAAGAAAAGATGAGATTTCTTTGCTTTCTTTTTATTCCTTGTTTCATTTTATTGTTTGAGGAGTAGAAAAATATAATCATAAATAAATCAGTTTCAGACAACAAAATTTCATAACTCTATGAAGTTATGGGGAAAAATTTTATTTTAAGCAGATTACAGAAACTCTCAAAATCCATACTCAGCCATACTGCTTGACTATCAAATCGCAATAATTAGAGATAAAACATAATAGCTGGCACCGCTGTATAATTAATGTAGCTAAAAATAATTTATCAAAAATACAAAATTAGCAAAAATTATCAATAACCCAATTTTGCAAAATAATAATTTTTAAAGGCAAGTTTTCAGAAAAGCAATTCAGTAATACATTCAAAATTAGAAAACATTTTAGACAATTTTATATATGTATTAAAAAAAATGCATGTTTGAAAATGGTTAAGATGTAATGGAACTGCAATTATATGCAATTGCATCACTCTAAAAAAATATAAACACCAAGCATCATTCTAACAAAATTACAAACTCACTTTAGTTCTTCCTTTACTCCTTGAAGAAGAAACAAATCCTCCTCTTTGCACAATGATTTCTGCAGATTCGTTTCCGGGACATTCTTTTAAAATTTGGACAACATCTGCATGAGGTAGTACTCTTACATCTCGACCATTTATTGCACATAAAAGATCATTCTCTTGTAGCTGTTTACATCGAGGCCTATCCAGAATTTTCTTCACCTTCAAACAAAACAATAGATTAAGTCTGTAATTTATAAGCCATTCCCAAAACAAAAAATGAATTTTATTAACTACAAATACAAACCAAACATTAATAAAACTACTGCAGTCACTAATTTTTTTTTCAAAGTTCATAGTGTTGCGCACTACTTTTAGAAAAAAATAGTGTTTTGCAAATACTTTTGAGAATCAGATTGAAGCAAATCTTACGGGAGTCCATCAACGGGCACAATGAGAGTGTCACTCATGTACTTTACTTAGTTTTTTTTTATTATTATTCCTTTTAAAGGAAGGAATAAAAAGTTGAGAGAAAAAAGAATTCATACAAAACAAATTATTAATTTGAACCATTTCCTTTACAATTTTTTTTTTCAGTATTCAACCTTTTTTTTAAAAAAAAAAAATAGCAGTGTAAATTGGATTCTTAACTTTATTTGACATTTAAAAAGAATTTTTTTTTACTTGACATTTAAAAAGAATCACGCATTATCCAAATGAAATTGTTTAAAAAAATCATTTAGGTTAATACACAATTTTGAATGTATTGTGTTCCACATTAAATTTCATTAAAAAAATTTTAAAGTTAGTTAAACAACTATAATAATTAACCACCATGTGTTTTCCTATTCAGAGAGAGAAAGACTATTAAAGGTTTACAATTAGAGAGTAATCCCTTATCTATTAACATCCACTGTTAAAACATATTAATTTTTAACCCACTTGGTCTATCAATAGAAAAATATATAATGTAAGATAATCTTTAATTATTTTACAGTTAATTACTAAAATCTGTCTAACTAACAAACATTCATATCAGAGTCAAAGCCAGTACTGAAAAAAAATTAACTTCCTGGTTTTTTCGGAGGTATATGAACCCTGTTGAGACAGACAGATAGATCAGATGAAATTAATCAGATAAATTAGATAGATACCTTTTGACCATATGAGCTATCAGCAATAGTAAAACCAAAACCAGCAGCTCCTTTAACTATTTCAATAGTTAAGAATTCTGGCATTACGAAATTTGTATGAACATTAGTTGGTGTATGATTTGGCAATTCTTCTGAAAAAGGATTCAGCAATCCAGCACTATTATGCCTGGAAGGATGGCAGTTATCTGGCAGTTTAAAGCTTAAATCTGGCATGGACTTTACAGCTCTTGTCATGGAATCAGAGGGTTTGGCACTATTATCAGACAATCTGCTAGATGGATGACAATTATCTGATCTAAAGGAATATGTGTTACTATGGCAATTAGGCAAGTTATTGTTAGCAACAGAAACTGCAACTGTGGTGACAATTTCTGTATTGGGATCACTTGGGTCAAAGGGTAATGGATAACCTCGACAGACTTCTAATTGCACAACCTCCCCAGCAGGTATAGTCTGGAACAGTGCAATAATGTTTTGGTGAGTGTACCCCAAAACACATTCCCCATTCACTCGAACAAGCACATCACCTAAAAAAAAAAGAAGATATAATTCAAATTTTGGATAAATATTATAACATAAAAATAAAAAAAGTACCAGAAATCTTCAATAAACAACTTTTTGTAAACATCTCAGAAAATTTTGCAAATTCAAAAAAATTAATTTAACTTATTTCTTGTGAGAAACTTATTATTTAATCAGGAAATGCCAAATTTAATCTTAATAATAATTAAAAAAAACATCTTAATAATAATAAATCTTATAACAATAAAATCTAATAATAAAAGAAGAATATCTTAACAAAAATAATTAAAAAACTGATGAGAGAAACTTCAGACAACTAACTTTAAAAAATAGGATTTTAAACAATATAGAAAAGGAACTACATTAGTTGGTCAGGACATTCTTGAGAAATACTAAAGTAATAAAAAAAGAAGAAAAAACCTGTTTCCAAATAAAGGGACTTAGAAGTTTGGTTAATTCACTTGTAAATTCCATATTTCATCACATACCTTTTTAAAAACTTGAAAACAAAAACATTGTCTCAGAAAGAAAGAATTCTTTAATGGAGACTGTAATAGTACTATGATAAAATTTGATGATTTACAATAACTAATGCAGATTTTTAAAAAAGTTCAAACTGGTAATCACATTTAAAATAAAAATTTATAAAAAAAAAGAAAAAAAACTACCACAATACACAAAAACATTGTTTAAGGAAAGAAACATTTACACAACATTAATAGTCCTGCGATAAATTTTAATAATTTATGACCGTAAAAGCAGGGTATCGGCTACATTTTAGATTTTCAAATTCATGACTGTCCATGACTAATTCCTAGAATTTTTTATGACTTAAAGAAGCTACTATTTTCTCCGACAAAAACACAACAAGAAATTTAAAAAAGCATTATAATAAGATAAATTGAAATGATAAGTATAACCAAAACTGTTATACTCTGCATCGTCATATTTAAAGATTTTCAATTTAAAAAACAGAGTAAAAGAAAGAGTTGAAACAATAAAACAGCTGAAAAAAATACAAAAGCAAATAATTTTTTTCTGCAGAATTATATTCTAAAGATACATTTCTTGTTCATCCGAAACGAAAGAAATACTCCTGATTTTTCGGTTCTCATTTCGGAATTAAAAAACATTTCGCCAATGACTGGCTTGCTTCAGATAGAATTTTAAATTTATAAGATAAAAAATAAATAATAACAAAAATTCTGAAATCACAGAAGATTAAAAGAAAATTCGCTCTAGAAATGATGTTTTTTCTTTCATTTTTTGAAAGAACACCATAACTTTTAGAGAACATGATAAAAAAATTTTATATTTTAATAAAATATGACTGTGAGTGGGGATTTTATTACAAATTCAGATATTCAGAACACTATGAAATGGGGAGGTATTTTTAAATTCCATTTTAAAAATTAGTTTTTTCAGCTACCTAAATACATGACTTTCCATGATTTTCTTTTAAAAAGAAGTTAAAATCATGACAAATTTTGTTCAATACCGAAATTCACGATTTTTCATGACTTTCCAGGTGCACGGCAGAGATGGGCATTTGTTATTCAGAATAATGAATAAAGAATGATGAATAATTATTCAAAATCTGAATAATGAATGATGAATAAAGATTTATTCATTAGTCAGAAATATTTTGAATAAAGAATAAATCATTCATTATTCGTTATTCAGTATCCTTTATTCATTAGTCAAGAATAACTGAATAATTTCACTGGTCAACAAAAATGGGCACGGAATACTCTAACTGACTACGATTATGACAACTACAAATAAAACGTTAATCCTTTTCAAGTATATTTATATAATGTTAGAGAAAATTTACTTTTGTCTAACATAATGCATACTTTTGAGAAATGGTTACACGGCAAAAAAGGGCTTAATTTTTTAAATTAAAATTTTATTTAAAAATTTAAAATAATATTATCATTTGCTTTCAAAAACTATAAAAAATTGCGTTTTATAGATTTTAGAACAAAATTTCAAAATGTTCAATGTTCTCAAGTAACTAAACTGTTATAAACCTACTTTTTCGCACAACTAAGTATGTTACGCTGGAGTAAGTTAAAATAACATAAAAATAAATAGTCATACTTGTCTTAGTTTTGTAGTTTAATTCCTAAAATAAGACGTTTAAGAGCAAACGATGTTTTGCATCTCGTTATTGACAAAGACATATCGTTTGCATTTTTTGCTGGTTATTCAAATTTTATTCAGAAAAATTAGTCATGAGTAATGAGTTTATTCATCAATCATTATTCAAAAATTTTTATACATTTGCATAATGAATGATGAATAATGACTAAATTTTCATATGAATAATCATTCAGAATAAATTTATTCTGAATAAATTTAGTCATGAATAAAATTTTCGTGAATGATGCTCATCACTGGTGCACGGATACCCTGTAAAAGTTGGTTCGATAATTTCTGATAGTAAAATTTAAACAAGTGGTTTGCTTAAAAAAAAATTACCTGTGTTCAATTTGCCATTACACCAAGCTGGACCATTAGGTACAACATCTTTTATCTGCAAAAATTGCTCAGCAGCAGAGCCTTCACCACCTCCAACTATCGTAAATCCTAATCCTCTTGCACTCTTAACTAGTGAAGTAGAGATAAAAGCTCCTCTGAGTTCTTCTGGATTTCGAGTAAAGAAGTGACCAGCTTTTGGAGTTGAATTAGCTATAGAAAATATTACAAGCTTAATTAAAACAATTAACACCAAAATAAGATAACAAAACTAAGAAAAAATAAATAGGAATATTTAGTAAATCAATAGCTTTTGGTTGTAAAAAATAAATAGGAATATTTAGTAAATCAATAGCTTTTGGTTGTTGTAACATAGTATAGTAAAATTTTCAAATTTTGTACAAATCTCAGAAGATTCAAAATAAAAGTTTATATTTGAAAATAAGTGATGGACTCAGAAATGTACCTTCAATGAATCATCGCATCAGAAAATATTTCTACAGTATGAAACATTTCTCAATTAAATGATCAAAAATCATTAAAAATGCTTGATTAAAAATTATATCAAAAGTTTTAGTTTAGCAAATCATTCACAAGTATTAAACATTATTTATAATAAAAATTTACAATAATAGCTTATTAGCCGTCAAAAATTTGGAAGTTATTCATATATCCGTAGAGATTTCCTAAAACTTACCTAATGTTCTCACCACAGTACTTATACTTTCTTTTTAAATGAGCTTCTTCATACATATTTGTACACTTTCTAAAGCAATCAAGTGGCTAATAATGCTTTTAATGTAAGCAATTTAAGAAAGAAAATAACAGAAATCAATTACAAAGTAGAAAATTAACTTTCAATACCTGTTTAACTCTTTATGTACAGATACCCATTAACTGGTATAGGAATATAAGGTAATTTTAAATGATCAATTGGGGATTCATTGAAATTTAGAAACCAATAAAATTAAAATCCAAATGATAAATCTCTAACAAAGAATCTGATAAGCACTTCAGGAAAACATATTAGATGATAATTTCACATCCGTACTCAATGTTTCTTGTTTCAACATATGGAAATTAGAAACTTATTGAAACCTATATAAAACAATGCAAGTATAGTTGACAAGTCTGAAAAACCAGTAGCTAAATATATTGTTATTATTTTTAAAATTTTCTTTTTAGACAGGAGGGGAAAAAAATATAAAGTTTTCCTTTATATGTATGTGCAATTTTTATGTGCAAATTAAACAACATGCTTTTTAACTTAATCCAACTGATAACGTAAGACAGCAATAGACAAACAATTTCCTTATTTACAGCATAACCATGTGAAATTAAATCAAATTTACTATGTTTACTTATAGAGAACAGCATTCCTTCCACAAGCACCAGTCCTAGAAAATGTTATAAGTCACAACTATGAAGACATTAAAAGAAATCATGATCAAAACTCGCAAAAATGGTAAATAAAAAATTATTAGAAACAGCTATTTCAAAAATATAACTATTTGCTGAAGAAACTTATTATAATTGAATTCATAATCAAGTAAGAAAAGTAAACAGGTATAATCAAACTGTTTAGTTAAATTTAATAATTCTTAAATGAATAGTTTTTTAAAATAATCCAAAGCACCAACAATATCTCAGAACTAGTTGAGGAGTGGTACCAAAAAGGAGCCTTAAATGTGAAGCAAAATAAAACATTTTTATTTGAAGAACAGCTGCTTCATATTTGTGTACTACACTCAGGCTTTTGTGAGTATTTGTGGTGTACAAGAATAATTTAATTTTTTTCTCAGTACTTGAATTTAACAATGGTTCATAAATCTGAGAGCATTTAAATTTGACTCAAACTACCACAAAATAATTATATGTGGACCTCCAAACCAGCAATTAGGCTGTTTTAATTTTCTGTTAGATGTTTTAGTCTGTATTTTTGTCGAAAATTAGCATATTTCATCATAAATGTGTCATTACAATTTCCTTCTATTGTAATTTTTCCTTCAAATTCACAAATATATATATATATACACCGAAGAGACATTACATTATGATCACCCCGCTAATAAGATGTAGGACCACCTTTAGCCCTCAAAACTGCTAGCATATGCCGTGGCATTGATTCCACAAGGTGCTGATAGATAGTCTGAGGTAACTGGTCCTGCAATTCCCTCACATTGCGAGGGGGTAGTGTGGCAGTACGAATTTGGTTTTCCAAGTAGGACCACAAATGCTCTATTGGATTAAGGTCAGGTGAATTTGGGGGCCAAGACATGACTTGAAAGTCACTGGAATGTTCCTCGACGATTCGACCCTCATGACATGGTGCATTATCCTGTTGGTAAACACCATCCCCTGCAGGAAAAACTGTTGCTATGAATGGGTGAACCTGGTATGCAACTATGTTCAAGTAGCTTATAGACATCAGGGATTGTTCTATGAGGATAATGGGTCCTAATGTGCCCCATGAAAACATTGTTCCTGGGCGAGAAACCATGAAAACCAGGGTGAGCCCATTGTTATAGATCGAGTGTGGTCATAATGTAATGGTTCTTTGGTGTATAGTAGTGACAGGTAAATAGACCAATAATATCTTTTGGTTACCAGTCTTTAGGACTAAATTTTTTTTTTTTTTTAAATTTCTACCCCTGATTTAAATTGGTTAAAACAAATTATTATCAAGCACAATTTTACTATAAAATGAAGCATTAATTTAAGTAATAAATGACACATTTAAAACAGATAAATAACAATTTTATTAAAATAAAAAAAAATGCTATACTTGATAAATTGGAAAGTTGATGAGATAACTCATTAGCATCTGATCCCTGGAAGAAACAATGGCGTCCACTCGAAGTCGTACTTCTCTCCATGGACGCTGATGAAGGATTTTTCTGCATATCACACAATCGGCTGCTACTCTCGCTAGCAGAAGCATTAGTGGTAACTGTACCATTACCAATAACAACACTGCCATCCGCCACCTTTCCATCTGCCAAATGTTTAGAAGGTTCATGCTTTTCATTAAGACAGGGAATACAGTGCAGATAGGGAAAGCGATGGGTGGAGGCAGGGGAAGAAGATATATTATTAGAAGGAGAAGATATAGAGGGAGGTGGAGGTTTAGAGGAAGAACCATCAGAGGAGGAGACAATTAGGAAAGACTCACTGTTGTTAGTGCTTGCTAGTGGGTTTGGGTCGTTAGAGTTGCTGCAGTTGGAGGTATGAGTTAGTGAGCTATTTCTTGAAGTCCATTGCCCGGTTCTAGGGTCAGCAAAAATGCTGGGGTTATGGTTGATATTGTTAGTTTGGTCAGAATGCCGGTGCCATGATGAGGACGAGTGACTTATATCAGCAGCTGAAACTGCAAAAGCATAAAACACTTGGTTGAAGCAGTGTGTTGCAAGAAGCTTGTATTTTAAACAAAACTTAACCCCTTGACATACGAAGACGTCTTGGAGACGTCATTTGTTTCTTATGTCAAAACAATAATTGACGTGTCTCAGACGTCTTCAACACAGAAATGCCAACTTGCTCCGGACAGCAAATAAATATTTTAAAGTGATAGTTTATCAATTGTGATTCTTGGTTTAATAAATTCAATTTAGTAGATTTTTTATTCACCACTATTTCTAAATAATTCGTAGGCTCATATAATTCACCACTTTATAGTAGTTATGTCATGCTATAAATTTTAAAAAGCAAGCAAAAATAGTCAAATATTTCAAAATTTAGTTTGCAGTTATTTACAGCTTTTTTTAAAATTATTTTGGCATGTCCAGAGCAGCTGGCATCTCTGTCAACATTCCGTTGAGAGTTGATGTTTACAGTGCAGTCAAAGATCATTTCTATATCAAGAAATGATATGTCACGGGGTTAATATAAAACACAAGATAAAATTTCAGTAGCTATAACATCAAATCAAAGTTAATGATTTCAATTTAAACTACATAAGGAATTAAAATATTTTAGAATATAAAAACACATTTTCTGATTAATATTTTATATGAATGCAGTAAATGCGAAAATGTATTAAATCTTTTATGAAGTTCTACATCATACTTTTTTAAAAGACTATGCAAATAATGATTTATTTATTTTTTTAAATCTTGAATTTTCTGAAGAAGATGCTTATACAATTTCAAGGTAAGAATGATGTTTAACTAAGTCTAAAAAAGAAAATTATAAATGATATAAAAATAGTCTCATAAACTTTGATAGAAAAAAGTTACGCTAAGTAAAATATTTATATTGCTTGATGATTGTTTAAGATTTAACAAAAGGTAGTTTAAAAATAGCTTAGATGAAAATTAATTTAAAGCTGAAATATGCATTTATAATTTATAGCAGGGGTTCTGAAACTGTGAACAGAAATAAGGGACTACTAAGAGTTCATGACATCAAATCTAAATTTAATTCTATAATAATAAGCTGTTGCTATACAAAAGAGAAAAAAGTTTCTAAGTAGAATTGATGGAATTTCAGACACATGTTTGATATGGAAATCCTATTCAAAGTTAAAAAACAATGTGTATTCACATTGCTACTTCATACCTGTACAAAGTTTGATTTTAAGTAACTGCAGTTTTAAAGAGGGAATAGAGTCAATGCTCTTTAGTACAATCCCCATTACAGCAATCCTTATTATAATGACTTATGCATGAAACCCCAATTGCTATGCAATATTAGTTTAACGTCCACTGGAATGCACTAAACTGTCTGTTCTAATACAGCAAACAAAATTTAATCAGTTGATAAAAATAAAAAAAATTCAAAGAAATTTTGACTATTATTTTTTTTTTATTTTACCACATACTAAATGTAAAGTACCTTGAATTTCCTTTGAAAGAACAAAGACTGGCATGACCCACTAAATTCTTATTCAAATCCAAGGTGGTCATAATTTATGGTTAATTATAATCTGCGTAACTTTCTTTCCAAAGGGAATAATTTATGACTTATAATTTTCTTGTATGAATATGGTATTCAGTAATTTAGTGAAATGTCAGTTCCCTTGTGTGGTTTATTTTCCAGTTAAAACATTTGGGTCTTCTTAGTTACTTTGACTTACATTATTTATCGATACTCAGCATATTATTCACTAATGAAGTATTTTTAAACGATACATTTATGAAAAAAATTTATATTTTCCGTTAATTAACAAATTTTTATTAAAGTAAAGCCTTCTTTTTTTAAAAATGGGCTTTTTTTTTTAGCTATAAGTTATTATTAATAGTATTTTTGTGCTCTCCTGATATAGCAACCTCATATTTCATCAGGACCAAGAGGAGATGCTATATTGAGCATAACTATATACATATTGAAACATAAATGAGACTATAACACTTATTCCATGTTTTAATAAATAATACTATCCATCTTATTTACTAAAAGGAGTTACAATACCTTCAAGTAAGGATGTTACTTTCATTTCACTTAAATGTTTAACTAGCAATTTATATTATTATTTAAATTTATAATATTATTTATATTTATAATATTACTTAAATTTATAATATTATATATTATTAATTCAGTTGAAATGCTTAAGTAGATTTAAAGTACAATATAGACTAATTATGCTTGAATTCTCACCATTTACTTTTATTGTTTCTGTTTCATAATCTTACACACGTGAAGGAAAAATTGGCTAATTTCACATTGATTCTAAAATTAGTAAAACCAAAATTTTAAATAAAAAGATACATTTTTGTAATAAGCTTTTTTTCTTTTCATTAAAAACCTATTCATGGTTATCTATGCGAGATACACCTCTTGTTGATATAACATGAGAGAATTTGCTAATAGATGCATTAGCCTAAATAAATTTGTAATATCAAAACTATATTAAGCTTGATTTTTTAAAAAAAAAAGCCTGCAAAACATTTTTTATGATACGCACATGGTATAATAAACGTTCAATAAAATGCAAGACAATTACAAACCATTATCATTCACTTTTCTTGCTTGAATGACAGGATTTTCATATTGCGTCCGTCGATTGACATGGCTAAAATGAAATTAAAGATATAAAAAATTTTTATTTTAGTCCATACTGAAGTTTAAAGAAAAACTTATCAAAGAGCACTTACTCAATGTAATATGTACCATAATGAGGATCATCAATTCGTTCCCAGCCAAAAGGCAATTCTGATTAAAAAAAATAATGACATCATATTTCAAACTAAATGCTTAACAAAATTAATATAATTATAAAAGGAATACTTTAATTATAGAAGGAATACCACTAAAAACCAACAGAGCAAACCACAGAATATAACAAAATATGATTTAAAACACATAATTTTAATATCATATTATTTTAATCTCATCAGCTTGTAATACGATCAAAAAATTATGTTAATGATTTAAAAATTATTTATTTTTTTAATAAATGTTTCTTTAAAGCTAGAAGATATTTTTTTTTACACTATTTTGATTTTAAATATTTAATTTTCAGAACCATAAGCATCAATAATATTTCTTAAAAAAAAAACTACGATTGTTTTAGTTTTCCGCACTCGTTTTTCATTATTAAAAACAAAGCTTAAAAACCAATAATATTAAATAAAGATTTCAGATTCATCTAAAACAGACTCAAAATATTATTCTTAAAAAATTAAATATTAGTGACAAATTTTTCATAAGTATTTTTCACATTAAAACTTTCAACATGATAGGAAAAAAACTCACATTGAATCATTTGTATTTACATGCTTAGAAACTTAATGATTATAATAAACACCCATAAATAAATCACATCAAAATGATGAGATTTATTTGTGTATTCCCCATGCATGACAATTAAATCATACAATAGGATCAGTCTGAGCATTCTCATTGGATAGATAAATCCAATTATAAGATAAAGTTTTAATACATGGAGATTCAGATTTTTTTGCTGTCATTAGCATAACATTAATGAAGTAATGAATGTGAATGAAAGATTAGTGAACATATTGTTTCTCTTTAAAATATTTCTTTATCTTAATTAAAAATTATTGACCTGCAATATTTTATCATCATTTCTTAGTATTCTACATTTTGATTTTTTACATTATATTATTTATTAGGCCAAATTAGAGGACTAAAACTAAAAATTTTGACTCTTTATTATTAGGTAATCTTTTGACATTACCTTATTATGCACATTTTACAATAAACATATTTAAATTGGTATCTACACATATGAACTATTTTACAGTCATTAAGCAAATAAGCTTAGTGTAAAACTATATGCAGTCAACATATGTAATTTAAATAAAGAATAGGAAATTATGAAACATTATTAGATATTACTTTTTACACAATTGCAATCTGCTTAATTAAAATTTAATGTTTCTAATTTCCCATGCCGCCCTTTCTAGTGAGAACATTCGATAAAATGCATAAAAACTTAAAACCTAAACAGTTCATACTAAAGAATAAAACCAATAAGAATGAAAATTACCATCATCTCGACAATCTTCCACAGTTTTCTTCTGTATTCTAGATAATCTAGGATCTAACCATTGTGATGTGCCAGTGTTGTGACTAGAAAAAAAAAGTATATGAATAATAATAGTAAAAAACTTTTTTATTCAATGGTACTAAAAGTATGGTGGACAAAACTACAATCAGATAATAAATTAAAAGATAAAAAGCAAAATTTATTCAATTATAAGCTTACTCAATAAAGTAAGGTTCTCCATTGCTAGTAAATGCTCTTTCCCAATTATCAGGTAAAGGACCCAAATCACATGAAGAATTTCCACATTGTACACTATCAATGGTTGCTGTAGAGTTACAATTTTGATAGCCTAGATATGAAAATCCAGATACTGGAGTGGAAGACCTGCAAAACAAACATAAACAGCAGCTTTAGTCAATGAGGGTATTTTAAATTTCTGTTTTAATTACTAATAAATTATAATTGGTTAAAATGCAACAATAAAAAAGATTTAACTTATTATTATTAAAATAAGCACCATATAGGTTAAAGCTTGGCAATATGTACGGTACTTCAATATAATAACTTTTATTTGCCAGTCTTAAAAAAAACATGTGTGCAACATGTTTAAACCATTATGAGACAATTTTTAGATATTTAAAAACACAAAAAATGAACTAAATTATTCATTATTTACAGAGGAAAATTTTAATTTTTTAGAACATTAGAAATAATCACAAAAAAATGTATCAATTTTGGTTTGACTGGATTTTGAAATTGTAATCTCTCAATTAATAATTAAATAAATTATGTAGAAAGTTAAAAGTTCATGCTTAGTTGTAGAAATTTCTATTTTTATTGTTCAGACACACAAAATTAATGCGATTTATGGAGAATTGAGCTTCATAGAATTGTGTTATATAGATCCACAGGGGTGATTGTGGCGCAGAGTGAAAAACTCTGAAATTTTATGAGAAAAAATCGAAATCAATTTATATACCATACGTGTTTCATATTTAATATAACTTTTTGAACTAACATTTATAATAAAATTACCTACTAATGCAGAATATCACACCTTTAGAATAACTAATTCAAGAAATATCTTACTTCCTGCCAAACCAAAAGAATCAATTCGGTGAAAGAATCACGCAAGACATAATTCTTCACATAATTAGCGAAAGATTATATGTAAACATCACGTTAACGGGATTTAGAAAAAGCTTCAAAATTTTGTCAGATTGTAAGTTTATTATTCGCCGGAACACCACAACCAATGGTCTTGAATACTGCGATATTTGCGCAAAAATCGTTTGCCTCACTCCTAGTTTTTAGACCAGGGAGAATGATATGAAAAACCCGGAAGTATCAAGTAAAGGGAAAGAAATAACTTAAGTCTGCAATCGTAAAAATTCAGAATATACTTAGATTCTAGTTAAAAAATAATATGAATTATGCATGCGTAACTAACTTTTTCATATAATAAAGATAAAATAAATTAAATATTTTTAATATATATTAGTCCAAATATTGCTGGATCATTAAAAAGCTAACAAATTAATGATAAAGAAAAAAGAAACTTGTCATAAATAGTTATAATCTGGTACTCTGCAGAAGACCAAAATAAATCAGTAATTTACTGTCAAAAGAGCAACCACTAAAGATTTTTTTGTATTGCTTTTTTTAAACTTTTAATATTTTTTTCCATATTTTTATTAATACTTATGTTTTGAGGCCAAAAAGGTTTCAAGGGCCACTTTTGGTTCACCGATAATAGGTTGTGCATCTATGATATAGATCTACTGTATTTTTGTAAAATCTTCATAATATATTATATCATTAGTTCATTTCATTATATCATTAGTTCAATATAAAACATAGCAATAATATTAATGTATAAATGCCAAATTCATATTTAATAAAAATAAAATCGCAAAAAAGAATATCTTACGGAGTATTGTTTGACATGGGAGGCACAGGAAATTCAGAAGCATCAGAAGTTTTTGAAGCCATTGCTTCAACATTCGAACGGTTACGCCGTCGCTTCCCCTCAGAAGAAGCATGGGCACCGGGAAAAATTAAATTATTTGATTGCCCAATTGAATTATTTCTTCTCATAGGAGAGTAATAATTATCCTTGGGAGGCATTGGGGTACCATAATGATTGCCTATAAAATAAATATACATATATTAAAAAACAATTTGAAATTTTCCTATGTAATATTTCACAGGCAAAACCTAAATAGAACATTCATAAAAAAAGAATACAGAAAATATATCTTTAATAAAGCATCCAAATGGTTATTAATGATGTTGATGACCTAAAAATTTGTAAAAAATGCAATTCAAATTTGCAAAAAAAAAAAAAAAAAAAAACTCAGAAAACTATTATAAAAACCTTAATATAAAAAAAAACGTAATATAAAAAATAATGCTCCTTAAATTTCTGACACCATGTTTTTTTTATTGTTGTTTTTTTATTGCTATTTTTGAAATTATAAATTGTAATTATAAGTTTAATAAAAAAAGTTAGTAATTAATATATATATATATATA